CACACACACACACACACACAGCTTTAGGGTTGATACAGTTGACATTGCCCTGGGGATATTTTCTAACTTTCTTACTCATACAGCATACAATATGAAATATGTATACTGAATATAAATTTGCAGCATTAAATATTACAAAACATATGGAGTTGTTTTATGTCACAGTTTACTTGAAACAGTAACTTGCATTTTAAAAACAGTCAGACAGTAGCATCATCACTAACCAATAGCCAATAAATAATAAAACTGATGCTATTTACAAACAAATGTATTTATACCGCCATCTGTATATATTAAAATTATAATTTTCGGTGATTTGCATAAAGTGATAGCTGGTAATACTGAACAAATAAACAATAAAGACATGAAACAAGTGAAATTTCAGTAGCTATAATTGGCATTTTCAAAAACAGCAGCCCACACAGAAGTAATGTATATATTTCTTTGGCCATACAGAATTGGGAGTGAAAATTCTGTTTTTCTAACATGCAAACAAAGTTAGGATTAAAGTACAAACAATAAATCCTGTGTATCATACTTCTGAAGCTTAGTGGGCAGACTTAGTACACACACTAACCTGTGCAGGATTCTCCCACTTTTTGAGGAAGTCCTCTTTGGCTTTAGCAAGGAATTCCTTGACTGTGGAAAAAACACACACCAGTGTTTACATAAGAAAGGCTTTAGTGGGGCATCTGTGTGTATACAGAAAGTGAAAAAACATCAAAATAAAGAAACAGAACACCTACTTTATTGTCTGAAGTCAACAGCACAGAGTCTGACTAAAAATTGTTAATTAAATCAAATTTTATTCATATCCATCGTAAAACCACCTGCTCATAACTATTACTCACAAAGACCCAGTGGCTACATGGATGATTTGTCAGTGTGTAGAAAGTTTTGAGACGTAAACTGATCGTCTTATCTGTCTGTAAGGTAATTCAGGCTGTTGGGATTTTTCTAAATGTACAGCAATTAGTCCAGATGGCTGATAGTCTGAAAACTACATGCAGAATATTCTCAAGTGCAAAAAAAATACCTGAACTTGAAATCTCATGAGCAAGTATACTCATTTAAAAGCTTAAATCCCAGGACACATTTCAAAACACTTGTTGACCTACCGGTATTAACTATCAACACTTTTCCTTCTCACCTTCACTAAAAGTGTCAGCTGCTCAGTGACCGGTATGCATTTATACCAAGTAGCTATGTCATATACTTAGATGTCTTGATTTAAATGTCAAGCATTTAAGCCTTTTGGAATAACTGTTTCTTTGATTTTCTTAAAAAGAAATCCATCACAGTATTCAGATTTACTCCAGTTTGTGACACATACATAACTAAATAAACCTTTACATATCATTTCCTAGTAAATTGCTATTTCAAAAATGATGAATTTAAAAACAAACACAAAAGTATAACCCCAGACATGAGCACACTCATCCTTCTATATTTGGACTTACAGTACAGCAGACAATCAGACTAACTCAGTGTCAATCTGCAAACCTTAAGGGGGTTCACCAAACAAAATAGCCCCCACACTTTCAGCAGCATCTCTTTCCAGAGACAACAGGCACTGTGCGTTTGGGAAATATCTGACACATAGCTTGTTGTGATCTCGCCAAGATTTGAGTACAAGAGGATGTGAAGTTGCCAAGATTCTTGCAGCTTACAATAGCTGTTGGTTGTTTTGCACCTCGTGAAGTGATTTGGCTATGGAAACGGTACTACCACCTGCTTTATTATAAAGCAGCATCAACTGAATCCAAAGAAAAAGCTCTGTTCAAAGCGGAATACTACTACCGAGCACCTATTCATCTGTCTCTATATTATGAGGTTAGTTAATTGAAATGTAGCTGCCTAATTTGGGTTCTTGAAAGCTATTCTGACACAGGCTTATTTAAGGACTGAGCAGGATGAGTGGATCTTTTTAAATCAGACAGCAGAAATAGGCCGCTGCATGGAATGTTAACTGAAGCTAACATAGCCGCTGTGTCACACCGTCTCTGGTGATTTCGTGAGTCTGGAACAGAGCAATGTGTTATGTGTAGCGTACAGGCGACGGTACCCACCGCTTTCCATCTCGCTGCCCTTCCTGGCCGTGGGCGCGTTGCCCATGATGACAACCTGTCAACGGGCGATCCGTGGCTTTTTGGCCGCCCTGCAGCCTTCTCAAGCCGATCTAATCTCGATTAGGTCTGTTCGGTATTTTCTAAATCCAAAAGCACCAAGCGTTAACTCCGAGGTCTTGGTCTTTAATAGCCTGGCAGCTGCTGATGCGGTGCCAGGGCGAGACGAGATGGTAAAGCGGGCTCACTCACTCCTCAGTCATCAGCAACCGGCAATTGATATATAGTTCAAATCCACGGGGAGGATACCTTTGAGGTATCTCGGTCGTTGGGGCTTCACTGGACCGTAAGGCCGAGCTCGGCGCAGATGGCCTGAACACGGAGGATCCAGTCTTCGCCTGTCCCTCCTTGCAGCCCCCGCCGAACGAGCCCCCCCGGCTCCCCACCTCTCCCCAGCCTAAAGAAAAACGACACCAGAGGCGGGGACGCGATATTCTCAGCCCAAGAGCCGCCACTTTTTGTTACCAAACCCAGCTTTTAAAAATTAAACCTCGGCGGGGTCCGACGACGACGGAAATTCACCCAAATCAACATTGGCCCCCCGTAGCCTCGGAGACGAGCGAGATGACGGAACTACAGTCGACTGAACGTCCCGCCTACTAGCCAGAACCGGTTTTTGATTGACAGCTGCAACCAGCCCGCGGATTGGCAACCTATGTATGCCGGTATCCCACGGAAGGCACTGATTGGCTCTTCGCAATCCATCAAGAGCAGCACCATCCTACCGCCCTACACAAAGCGAGTGAGGGGAACGTCACCGATTATTTTCCTCCCGACGACATACCCGCCCACTTTTCCTGGTTTCCGTCCTCCATTGGCTAGATGAGGGCGAACCGTGGGAATCTCGGCGAATGTGAAGATGTCCATTGGCTCTGAGTAACGATTGGCAGGTAGAAAAAAAAACCCCTCTTCAGCCCCCCACTCCCACCGCCACCAAGCGACTGATACACGTTTGGCCAAGTGACGTCAACCGCGAGCTATTTTTAGAAATGTTGGTCAGAATTTAACGCACGCGCGGCGCGGTCGGGCTGGCAGGACTTCTAAACATTTCGCAGACCGCCGTGCGTTAAATGATGAGTGTATTTAGTGAGAAATAATATTAGGAAACAAGACGGTCTTTCTAAACACTCAGAGAGATACCGTCTCTCTGAATATTTTACAGTCACCGAAACCCTCCAACAGCCTCCTTCAACACAGCACATCCACCCCAGCACCTGGAACACCTGCAGGCTTAGCCTAGCATATGACCGAGAGTCCTTTTATGAACGGGACCTTCAAAAGGCTCGGTTTCACATGGATTTGCATCTGAATATCTAATTTCAATAACAATTTCACCGTGTGCTGGTAATTAAAAAAAAAACAACAAAAAAACTTATGGTATGAAAAAAAAAACATCCATTCTATGAATAGAAGATCTCTCAGCTGTTGCAGGGTTTGACACCATCATTCGGGCTCACACAACACCACCACGGTTATGTAAAACGGACTCAAAAACCAAATCACTAATTCTGCTTATACTTGGTTGTAACTTACATATCACAGTCCCCCCACACCGTACAGAGTGCTGTTAAAGGACAATTGAAGCTGCATATGGGTTTTACTGCTAAATATGAATATATGAAAAAAAAACAAAAACTGGTCAACTGTGCAGACATGTGAGAAGTAGACAGATGGATGGATGGGGGAGTTGGTCCCTTCAACTAAGATAAAATGTGCAAGAGAGCACAGACAGGCCCCCCTTCCTTTTGTGCAGCAGTTGCCTAGCAACATGAGGCTGGAGTGAAAATGGTGGTGCTGCATTTTATGAATGAAATCGGAAAACAGAAAGGAGCCAGAGATGGGAGGGCGAGGAGCGAGCCAACGTGCTGAGTCTCTCTACTGTTGCAGTGCTTCCTTCCACACAAGTCAAGGTGGAAAGCAGCCGTATGTAACATGTTCTGATTAACAGGAAACACAACAAGGTCAACAAAAAAAAAAAAAACTTTATTAACCCCATCACTGTTGTTACAAATACTGAAGCTGAGAATATATAGTAAGTACAAAATGAAAACCTGCCTTCTTGTTTTGAAGACAAAATAAGAACAAGGAAAACATTATTTACAGTAAGCCTAAATCATCCACACACACACACACACACACACACATACACACAATGCAATTTGGCATCCATCATTACCTACATGTTTTGCTCATATAGGCGTTTTATGTAACAGTAGGTGAACTGTTGCCTATTCACAGAAGCAGGTTTACCGAGTAATCTAGATAACCCTGGGGCAAAACATGTTAATGCGAATAAAGCCACTTGATGCCACAATATCATAAACATGGCCCATAATTCAAACCCAATTCCCTCCCCCCAGTAGGTGTCACAAGAGACAAATCTTACAAAGAATGAAGTGCTCTACTACAAGCAGCTAGGTGCTATATCCTTCCCATCGCATAGCACTAGTTGATCTGTGCAGAAAAGGACAAAATGAACAGCATGGGTATCAGAATCTCGAGTTTTTCCCCACACGTTTCAGGTCTGTTGAAGTGACCTGGCCCAGCACTGATGATCTGCACTTCTTTCAGCCAGGCATAAAATATAATCTTATACAGAAATACAATAAATTAAGGCAAATCTGACTGTGCACACCTGTGTGTGTGTGTGTGTTTTGAAAGGAAGTGCGTAAAGAGGAGGAACCAGAGGTGGTAACCATGCCAGACCAATCCCATTTTTGAGTGCTTCATAAAAAGATAATGTCTATACTGTGGTGTCCTGTGCTTTCTGTTAAAGTCCACATGTTATACAGAAACATCCATGGCCTCCTTGTATAAATGTGTGTTTGCAATGTGGGTGTGTATAGATAAGAAGGGCTCCTTATCCATTGCATTAATCTGATGCCTCTTACATGCAGTCCATGGAGTTATCTGGCATCACTCCTAGATGTGGCATCTTTCCTGGTATACAGGATGGAGGGAGCATGCCACTGATGTTGGGGGACGGATCAACATTCTCACTGTCTTCCATCTTGTCTGCCAAGCCCTCCCAGTTGATATGAAAACGGGTGACACGAGGATTTGAGGCCAAAATATTCCTCTGGAGCTGCAATGATGAGAACTTGTTAGAAATAGGGGTGGACTGCTAATGTTTTTACATGAGGACATAATTAGATTACTAATTAGGAGCCCAAAAGTTAGTTATGACAGCCATCCTTAGGAGTGCACATTTCCCCTCAGAACTTGGGATAGCTTTGAATTAAATACAATGAATAGTTGGTTTTATGTTGGATTTGTAGAAGGAAAAGACCAGTGTAAAGAGAATGAAGCACAAGATAATAATTTTAATGCTAATGTTAAAGTAGATACTGGTACAAGAAAGCATAAAATTCCACCTGAACTAATGCATTCTTTTAAAACAATGCAAGACCAAATAAAACAAAAACACAGTGCTAAACAATCTCCAGATAATTCTACACACACATACACGTACATAATGCTACAGTTATCTGTAATTGTACATTTCTGGGCACAAGAGGGCAGCAGAGAGACATTTATAGTACTTTTCCACAAATATGGCCCATATTCTACACTTAATATCACCCAATGCTGATGTAATCTGGTCACATTACAGTAAATGCAGACAGCTGGAAACAGCTTTCCTCAGTATTATTCATGATGGTCATTTGTGTACTTGTGTATGTTACCTGAGAGTAATCTGGTTTGAGAGGTGGGTTTTCTCGCAGTTCAGGGTCCGTGTATTCATTGTTGACATAGTAACCAATGCGGATGAACTCCTGTCCACGGTAGGTGCAGGTTATAAGGACTACGGTCACTCCTACAGCATCGCTTTCTGGAATCAGCCCTGTGTTAGGAGCGTCAGCCTGATAGGGTAAATGAGCACAGAGAAGAAATCAGATGAAATCTAATTATGCTATAAATGAAACAGTAACTGGTTAACCAAACCAGGGATATCAAATACATATATGATATTGTGCAAAAGGAGTATGTGAAAAATCCAGTTTATAACAATTTTCAAGACATGGAACACTCAAAGAGCTTTATAGAGGTTAAAAAGACAAAATTGATACAAATGAACTGAGAAAAAACACAAACATAACCCAAATGCCTGTCTGAACAGATGCATTTTAAGCTGCTGTTTAAAGGATGCCACTGAGTGGGAAGTGCAAAGAATGAGTGGGAAGCTGTTCCAAAGTTTTGGAGCTAAGGTTTGGAAGCCACAGTCCCCTCTTAGTTTTCAAAAGGATATATGAAATCACAAGAAGGCCTCTGAGGACCTACGAACCCAGCCTAGAGAATAGGGGTGGAGCACTTTGATAATGTAGATGAAAAACCAAAATTTTAAACTACTCTAAACCTGACAGAAAGCCAGTGCAAAAATGTTAAAAGTGGACTGATGTATGAAGACTTTTGAGAGTCAGTTAAGAGTCTCACAGGAGCATTTTGGACAGACTGAAGGGAATTAATAGATGCTTCAGTCAGAACAGAAAACTCCATTCAATAACCTAAGCAAGAGGAGAAGGAGGCTTGGACAAGAACCTCCAATTCACTTCTTGAGAAAACAAGCTGAGGTGCTTGTCCATGCCTTCTTGTCCTCTTAAAAGCAGTCATACATCAGATGAAAAATCTGACGGTACTTTTCTGCACTTAAAGTTCACACCACTTTCTGAAATTTCTCACCATTAGGTGCCTTTTTTCTTTTACGCTTGAATGGTTCATAGGTCATTGTTAAGTGACTGTAAGAAAAAAAAAATCCTTTGAAAATATCCAGGTACAAGGACTACATTGAAAATTTGTGAGGAAAAAAGTAGTCAATGTCCAAAGAAATACTGAAAGGTCAGAAGACTTTGGAAAACTATTGTTCAAGACCACAAAAATGATAAGTCTTGACTCCTTGATAGCAAAATATAATAAGAAATTAGGCTTGACTTAGTATAGGCTTGCACTGTACTGTATAACTCATTGAGAAGTTGAGTGCAGAGAGACTTTGTTGACAATTAGCATCACAAAGTTCAAGCTTAGTCAGAAAAGGAGATACGATGCTGCCTCACATGGAGAAGCTCATCTGTCTTGGGATCTTGTTTAGAGACAAGGGTAAAGTGGAGCAGGAGAATGACAGATCTATATGATCTATTGCGTTCAATTGACATTTCTACCTTCACCTTTTTTTTTGCATATACTATTATATATTGTACATATATTTATTAGTTTCAGATTTAGCCATTTTTATATTTTGCCTGTTTATGTTATTGTATTTTGCACAACTCTGTTGCTTGTGAAGCTCGCACACAAGAATTTCACTCGCATGTGCTGTACCAATGTACCTGCACATGTGATGTGACAATAAAAAGTGATTTGATTTGACCTACGGACAAAAATACAAGGTAGAGACTGACAGAAGTAGACCACAAATACTAGCGGAGACAATCCTCCACTACATCTCTGCATCAGGTGTGGTAGCAACATGTACTGATCCCAGTGAGAACCCAGCCATGATGTCTCTTGGCCGGTCTGGGAACCTCTCAGTTTCCTCTCAGAAAAGCTGGGAAAAAGATGCTGGGACAGTGCGATCTGGTATGTCTGCTTTGAATACTACTCAACAGGGTTTGTTTTAAATAAAACTGGATGTTAAGTATTACATGATAAAAGCTCACTGAGAGGACTCACCTGAAACACAAACATGTGTCTGCCAGCTGGTACAGGGCCCACTAAAACAGAGTCCAAAACCTGGTCGTACTCCTCGCTCTCAGCTGAACCCACATAAATGATCTTCCATTCCAGGTCTGCCAGTACACAGAGGACAAATAGGGAGGTTTGTTTTTAAATTATTATTATGATCACCATCATCA